CTACCCTATCTATTACTTATCAAAAATATTTTCGAATATATATATATATATATTAGCAATACATTTATATGAGTGTTTAGTGTCGTATGATATTGTAGAACCGACCTTTGAAGTAGCGGGTACTTAAGACTTAAGAAGTTGAAAGAGCTTTATTGGCAATTGAATTTAAGTATTTAAAGTTAAAGATTTAGTTTTTTAGGTTTAGGCATAAGAGATCAAAGTTGGTTTACGAATAAATGGATAGTGTGAGAACTTGAGAAACTATGATAACTTGAGAAGTGAGCATCCGATCGAACTTAAAGAGATAAATTTATGAATCAATGTTACGATATTTCTTTGGAATAATTGAATGTCTATTATTTACCTACTAAATTCAAAGGTTGTATGCTATTGCGAGCCTTTGAAATTAAAGATCGCACGTGCAAGAAAGCTCGTAGAGAACGGACTTACTCTCTTTCAAAACGCCAAATTCAAGGTGCGGCCTTTGAATTTGGTGATAATTTAGATTGAAAGAATAAATTATATATTCATCCTTTTATTTTTAATAAATTTAATAATTAGTGTTTTATATTTTTAAAATAATTATTTAATTTTTGTATAAGTGTTTAATGTAATATATTTTATTTTATATGAGTGTTTTTTTCTTTATTAATATTTTCATGATGTAAATTCATTTTGGAATTTTTTTTTAATTTTTAAAATAAAGAGAAACAAATTAGAAAATAACATAAAATTGAAAAAAAGATTAAATAATAAGTTTTTAAAATAAGAAGAACCACTTTTTTTTTAAGGACTAATTTATAGTTTACCTAATATAGCAACATTTACTTTCAAAGTAAAAGCGTGAATTGAAGATAGTAAAAGCGTGAAACACAACATTCAGAACAACATAAAATTATACATTAGTCCCTATAGTTTGATAAATAAATTAATTAGTCCTTAATGTTTTAAAACTAATTATATAAGATTTTAATCAGTATTGATATTTTAATATAATATATTTTTTACATAATTATTTTTTTCTTCAATCTTTTTATGGTATGATTTTTTTTCTATTTTTAAAATAAAAGCAAAAATAAATTAGATAACAATGTAAAATGAATAAAATAACTAAATTATTGATTTATGAAAGAAAAAGGATTAACTAAAGTTTTTCTTTAAGTAAACGTGACTTATTTTAATTTATTTGAAGTAGTAAATATTTATATTCTCTAAAAATTAATCACATAGCAAGTGAATTTTTGTTTTCTATTGAAATTTAGTGCCCGTCCAATGGTCATTTCGCAATAGCCAAGATAGACATAATTTTTCTTTACATTGTCTTCCTACTCAAAATTCAAGTTAAAGCTTTTCCTACAACCTTTCCACGTTTGTCACAGTTTGAAAAATTTGTTGGAGAACAACTAGACCGCAACCTTTGTAAAAGATTGCAAAAAATTGCAAATGAGATTCCTTTTCATTAGTAATTGCGAGAGAAAAAAAAAAAAAAAAAAGAAGACAAAATGTCCCTATCTAGCCGTATTTTGGGCTTTTTTAGTAGTTTAATTTTTTTTATAATGTCGTTATATAATGGCTAATAACGAGCATTACTTAATGATAACGTCGTTATCTCGCTATTATAGACTTGAAACAACGTCGAGGCACTTGTAACGTTGAAAAACGATAACGAGATGCCCCCTTATCGCTATATAATGATCGTTATGTGACGTTACGACCTTTTTTAAAACCTCGTTTTGACATGTGTGTTCTTACACGGTGTATCTCTCCAACAATGTCTTCTTCTCTTCATTTGAAGGCACTTGATGTTCGGGGACAAGAACATGCTCTTTGATGTTAACCCATAGCTCGACCTCTTATATTGAAGGAGTTACAAAACATTAATATTGTGTCTTACATTCGAGTTACAATACAATGGGATCTAATTTGTTCTTCGCCTTCATCATTATAGCATTCTTAAGGCCAACAATATCACCAATATGTTACCCTTGCTATCGGTGATTTGACTAAACTAATAGAACTATAAGTCCTAATGATGTTTTACAACACCGTAAAACTCAGCGAGTGCTTTATTTTTTATTTTTTATTTTAACCAAAATTTAGTCAAAGAAGAAAGGAAAGAAGCTAATTCTTTGGGTGTTGAAAATGCTCTAAATTTTAGCGACAAGGTTGACGATGAAGCTGATCGAATTTAAAGAGATAAATTTACGAATGAATGTTATGATATTTCTTTGGAATAATTGAATGTTTATTATTTACCTACTAAATTCAAAGGTTGTATGCTATTGCAGCCTTTGAATTTAAAGATTGTACGTGCAGCAAAGCCTGTAGAGAGCAGACTTACTCTCTTTCAAAACGCCAAATTCAAGGTGCGGCCTTTGAATTTGGTGATAATTTAGATTGAAAGAATAAATTATATATTCATCCTTTTATTTTTAATAAATTTAATAATTAGTGTTTTATATTTTTAAAATAATTATTTAATTTTTGTATAAGTGTTTAATGTAATATATTTTATTTTATATGAGTGTTTTTTTCTTTATTAATATTTTCATGATGTAAATTCATTTTGTAATTTGTTTTTTAATTTTTAAAATAAAGAGAAACAAATTAGAAAATAACATAAAATTGAAAAAAAGATTAAATAATAAGTTTTTAAAATAAGAAGAACCACTTTTTTTTTTTTAAAGGACGAATTTATAGTTTACCTAATATAGCAACATTTACTTTCAAAGTAAAAGCGTGAATTGAAGATAGTAAAAGCGTGAAACACAACATTCAGAACAACATAAAATTATACATTAGTCCCTCTAGTTTGATAAATAAATTAATTAGTCCTTAATGTTTTAAAACTAATTATATAAGATTTTAATCGAGTATTGATATTTTAATATAATATATATTTTTTCATAATTATTTTTTTCTTCAATCTTTTTATGGTATGATTTTTTTTCTATTTTTAAAATAAAAGCAAAAATAAATTAGATAACAATATAAAATGAATAAAAATAACTAAATTATTGATTTATGAAATAAAAAGGATTAATTAATGTTTTTATTTAAGTAAACGGACTTATTTTAATTTATTTGAAGTAGTAAATATTTTTATTCTCTAAACTTTGTATTCTCTAAAAATTAATCACATAGCAAGTGAATTTTTGTTTTCTATTGAAATTTAGTGCCCGTCCAATGGTCATTTTGCAATAGCCAAGATAGACATAATTTTTCTTTACATTGTCTTTCTACTCAAAATTCAAGTTAAAGCTTTTCCTGCAGACCTTTCCACGTTTGTCACGAGTTTGAAAAACTTGTTAGAGAACAACTAGACCGCAACCTCTCGTAAAAGATTGCAAAAAATTGCAAATGAGATTCCTTTTCATTAGTAATTGCGGGAGAAAAAAAGAAAAAGAAGACAAAATGTCCCTATCTAGTCTGTATTTTGGGCTTTTTCATTAGTTTAATTTTATTTTTTTATAATGTCGTTATATAATGGCTAATAACGACATTACTTAACGATAACGTCGTTATCCGTCGTTATAGACGTAAAACGATGTTGAGGCACTTGTAACGTTGAAAAACGATAACGAGGTGCCCCCTTATTGTCATATAATGATCGTTATGCAACGTTACGGCCTTTTTTAAAACCTTGTTCGACATGTGTGTTCTTTCACAGTGTATCTCTCCAATAAGGTATTCTTCATTCATTTGAAGGCACTTGATGTTCGGGGACAAGAACATGCTCTTTGATGTTAACCAATAGCTTAGCCTCTTATATTGAAGGAGTTACGAAACATTAATATTGTGTCTTACATTCAAGTTACAATACAATGGGATCTAATTTGTTCTCCACCTTCATCATTATAGCATTCTTAAGGCTAATAGTATCACCAATATGTTACCCTCACTATCGGTGATTTGACTAAACTAATAGAACTATAAGTCCTAATGATGTTTTACAACACTATAAAACTCAACGAGTGCTTTATTTTTTATTTTTTTAAACCAAAATTTAGTCAAAGAAGAAAGGAAAGAAGCTAATTCTTTAGGTGTTGAAAATGCTCTAAATTTTAGCGACAAGGTTGATGATGGAGTCGATCCCCGTAAAAACTTAATTACCAATAGGTATTTAGCGACAATTTTTAAAACCGTCGCTAAAACCACAAAATAGCAATTGCTTTAAGCAATCCGTAGCTATTTTTTTTGTCATACGTTTGTTTTTAGCGACGGTTTTAAAAGCCATTGCCAATTCCATAAAAAATATAGTTTTGTCATACGTTGGCTCACTTCTTGTCTAAACCAAATCAAGTCAATCTTCTTCTAGGAAAAGTTGTTGAGCAAGAAAGACACACACAAGAGATATAAGAACTTTTTGTATTGCTCTCTCTAAATCTTATAAATTTATTTATGGATGCTTTGATCGAATGAAGGTCTCACCTATTTATAGTCATCCACCTTTTTAATGAATTGCTAGAATCTATTTGATCTAACGGTTACAATCAATTTTCTAGAATTATCCTATTTAGATATTTACAAAAAGCTATCTACATATATACAAGCTAGAACAATAAGGGACCCTCTTGAATTTCCTAAGACATGTCTAGATTTTTCTTAGACATTCTACAAACTTCTCCATTACTCCATAAACTTATCTAGCATTCCTAATTGGCCTTCGAAAAAAATTCCTTTTTTGAGTGGGCATGACAATAAACTCCATACCTACCTCAGCTTCCTCTTCCAATTCAGTCCCTATCCATACTGCCATTCCATTGAAATAGATAAGAAGAATTGTTTGGTGCAAATCGAAATATTGTATTTTTATCTTTTGGGAACCCTTTTTATTTGTGGTTAACAGGCATGTGGTTCGTTGGGCCTGATTGTGCAGCTAAAAGCCCACTTTTGGCTGGTGAAAGACAGGCTGGACTAGACGCTTGTGCCTTTTTTGGCAGGTCTGCATGGTTGGGCATTTTTTGGGTGGAGTTCGGTTGGGCGTTATTTTGTTAGAATTAGGCCTGACTGCGATAGGATTGTGCATCCATAACACGACTGGCAGTAGCAATATTGAGGGCTTGATTTCTACTAGTAGTATCTTCATTAATTGTCAGAATATTGAATCTTGATCCCTGCCTTTTTTATTGGTCTTATTTTAGAAGTTTACCCCAATGGCCTCCAATTTCCTTTCTTGTTTTACGCCTAAAGTTTACTGATGCATGTAAACATGGGTTGAAACTTTTCGAAAGCATCCATCACTAGAAACTAGTTCTGTTGCAACAATCTTTTCGGCATTATAGTTGAAATTCTCTTCATCGTTGAACTTGTTGACAGTTTTTTTTTTTTTTTTTTTTTGGATAAAACAAGTTCTTACGTCCAATACGACTGCATATGTAATATACATATAGTAAACCCTCATAACATACTTGTTGATCTCTATCCTCTACTCTAATAGATGCTTTCATAAGAGTCTCCAAGTCCATATCAATCGCAATCCTCGCAGACTTGCCTCTCTGAATTGTTTGAGTATTAAAATCAATTTTAATGGTGTGACCGATAATATTACCCATGGTTCGTAATATCTGAGTATGATACTAGTTTACAAGCAAATTAGAAAATCGAACCTATATGACTGCCCTAGTAACACGACTTGTAGAGGCTCGAAAACAATGATCCTAAGGTTGTGTAGCAAGATAATGGTCAAGGATGGTCCAAGGTCCATCAACCAAGGCATGGAGGTAATCCTTCTTGTTGGAAAGCTGGACAAGAAAAAATTCATTCTCTGTTCCAATTACACATGTTTTCTGGACTATATATTATTCAAAATTGTAATATTTGAGATTGTAATATGTTATTTTCAGTATATTGATTGCGTTATTATTAACAGATATGTTTAGGAACTATATACATGGTTTATAAAATTTTACGATTTTACGATCCAATCTTACGATTCGAAGTTTTATCCCTTTCAACATCCAATTTAAATTCTCCATTTTAATAACCTTGGGAGCTTGTACCAAGCTAGACCATCTACTTCTAGGCCACTGTGTAGGCCATCGTTTCGTGGAAAAAAAGATGAACCATGTGTTATTTATAGAATTACGTTAAATTTTGTTGTCTACATTACGCTGCAAGTATGATAAGATATATAAAATTATTTTATTTTGTTAACCTGTTTTATGATGTAAATCTATAAAAATATATGAAATCAAAAGTAAAAAAATATATATTCATAATTTTTTAATAAAAAATTTTGTATTTAACTATTTCTTATTTGTGTTTTTCATAATTTTTTCTTTAGAAAAAGGTTTTTCATAATTTTTTCTTTAGAAAAAGGATTTATCATTTTTAAGCCATGAATTATTAACTAAAAAAAAATTAAATAAATTTTTTTAATTTTTTTTAGTATTTCATAAGATTGTGTCAAAAAAAAAAATAACAATTATTAAAAGCTTATATAGAATTGAAAAAATAATTTTTTTAATTTTATTTAACTTTGATAAGAATATCAATTTTTGAAAAAAATATGAATTTAATTTTTATATATTTATTTACAAAAGAATGAATAATATTAAAATAAATAAAAATCGTCAATAAATATAATTTTAAATTAATTGAATGAGAATTTAAAAAATAAAAAATTATAAGTAGTAAATTTCAAATAATAAAATAATTAATAAAAAAACACTAAAATAAAATGGGACCAAATCACAATACAATTAAAGTTTGAAATTGAAAAAAATATATAGAAAAATTGAGGACCATATAATTTTAAATTAATTGGATGAGAATTTAAAAAAAAATGACAAATTAAAGTAGTAAATTTTAAGTAATAAAAATAATTAACAAAAAATATTAAAACAAAATGGGACAAAATCACAATACGATTACAATTTGAAATTGAAAAAAATATATAGAAAAATTGAAGACCAAAGTGTTACAAAAATGACATAAATAGTGAAAAGAATAGTGACTTATGAGTATGTGAATAGTGATTTGTGATTATGTAAACAAGTGTTATGAATAATAAAATATCATTTTGCTTTAGTATTTTTTATAATCAATAGTAATATATGCATATATATTATTAGAAAGGAAAAAAAAAAAAAAAAAAGAGGCCATGTTCTGGTTGATATATATATATATATATGAAGAAAAAAAATAATAAGGCCAGGTGCCTCTACGACTAGGGTAGGCTTATGCCGGGCCTTAGCTGCTGGGTTCAATCTAGAAAAGGAAAAAAAAAAAAAGCTAAAAAAAAAAATTGTTCATTAAACGGTGAAATGAACTTATTTTTATTTAATATTGATGAGGATATCGATTTTTGAAAAAAAAATATGAATTTAATTTTCATATATTTATTTACAAAAGAATGAATAATATTAAAATAAATCAAAACTATCAGTAAATATAATTTTAAATTAATTGGATGAGAATTAAAAAATGATAAATTAAAGTAGAAAATTTGAAATAATAAAAAAAGTTAACAAAAAATACTAAAACAAAATGAGACCGAATCACAATACAATTAAAGTTTGAAATTGAAAAAAATGTATAGAAAAATTGAGGACCATATAACTTTAAATTAATTGGATGAGAATTTGAAAAAAATGACAAATTAAAGTAGTAAATTTTAAATAATAAAATAATTAACAAAAAATACTAAAACAAAATGGAACCAAATCACAATACAATTAAAGTTTGAAATTGAAAAAAAAATAGAAAATTAAGGACCAAAGTGTTACAAAAATGACATGAACAAGTGAAAGGAATAGTGATTTGTGAGTATGTGAATAGTGTTATAAATAGTAAAATATCATTTTTCTTTAGTACTTTTTATAATATATATATATATATGTGTGTGTGTGTGTGAAAAAAAATAATAAGAAATAAGGCTAGACACCTTTGCGTTTGAGATAAGCCAATGTCGGGCCTTGACTTCGGGTTCAACCCAAAAAAGGGAAAAAAAAAAAGGCCGAAAAATATATATTGTTTATTAAACGGTGAAATGAACAAGTAAAAGTGTCATGTGTTTTAGAGTATAATAATATTATTTTAATTTTTCTTTTTCATTATGTTGTCGAAAAAATTACCTCTCTTCTATCTCCTCTTTTTTTTTCCCTCTTTTATTTCTATTTGCTTTATTTTTTTCTTATGATTTTTCCATTTATATTTTTTGACTTTTTCTTAAGCATATCCAATTATCAAAATAATTCTTTCAAAACCAATGGTTAAGATGGATAAATGAAGGACGTGATTTGGAATTTTGAAAAGTTTACGAGTACAAATTTAAAAATCAAAATTCATTAAATCATTTGTCTCCATTTCTATCTTACATTTCCAATCAGAGAGAAGGGGCAAAATTTTCTCTTTTTTTAATTTTTTGATATTGAGATAATTTTGGATTTTTTCTTTACATCCGCTAACTAAATATTTTTTTTTTTTGTCATATCCTTTCATCCTATTAAACTCCCCTTAAGAACTATAGCTAGACTACTCACACTTTACGAGAATCAATATAATTTTGTGTCTGCTCTTCTTGATCCCTACTCTTTATTTATTTAGTATTTGGTTATTTGATTTTGAATTTGACACTTATTCTTGTAAATTTTCTTTTTTCTATTTTGTTATGCCGGTAAACTATTGGTATACCGATAAAAGTTCCTATCTTATTTTTTTGTTTTTTTATTTTCTATTTATCCGAACTCTATAGGCTCGAGCTATATGAAAAGAAAAAAAAGATGAATGATACGTCATTCATACAAATGACGTGTCATTTTAGTTCCGTTTCTTCATCTGTATCATCAAAATCTAACAATCATGTTAGATTCTTACAACATGCCAAAGGACATGTAAGATTTAATTTTGATTTGTTTTTCATTAAAAAAACACATCTAAACACTTCCTATAACTCATAAACGTAAATCTAACTTCAAAAACAAGTGTTAAGCATTCAAATAGCACAAAATTTGATTTTAAAAATTTTAAATTTAGAAGTTCAAATCCAAATATTTTTCAAGTTTGACCATGAAATAGTCTAATTTTGGTATCTATGAAATTTTTTGTTTGATGATGACAAGGGTTGAAATATTTTTCAACCCTTCCTTTTTTTCCTTAATTGTCTTCTTCTTATTTAACACCTAAATTAGGGAACTTTCCTTAACTATCTTCTCCCGATTTAGCACCTAAATTAAGGATCTTTTTTTTTATTAAGTCAAATACAATCGTGCATAAATTGGATGATTCTTGTATTTAAACGTGCCTTGTAATTGCTTTTGATAAGATAGTGAAATACATTTCCACTTCTTGATTCATTACATTCTTAGTTTATCTTTTCTATCATGGTATCAAAGCATGGCCATTGATCATTTTTTTAATGATTCTTTCATCAAAACTATCACAAAAATTTATCAAGATCATTATTCATCTCAATGGAGGAAACAAAAGAAGAAAGTTCAAATAAAGAAAAATTGGTGGTTCTAGTAGACTTTACGGATCTAACCAACAATCCATTCTATTTGCATCATACGGACAACCCCGGGATCATATTAGTCAATCAAGTCCTAAAAGAACTTGAGAACTATAAGTCATGGAGAAGATTGATGATGATCTCACTTTTTACTAAGAACAAAGTTGGATTCATGATTGGTGCCCGCAAGAGACTCCTTGAAGATTCTACATTGACGGATCAATGGGATAGATGCAATTGCATGGTACTCGCATGGTTTCTCAATTCCATGAGCAAAGATATTTTTGATGGAGTTATGTACACGGATATTGCTGCACAAATTTGGACATATTTGAGTGATATGTATTTGGGAAATAATGGATCTCAAATCTTTAATGTACATAGAGAGAGATATGCTCTCTTAGTCAAGGATCTACCATAATATCAACTTTTTACATGAAACTAAAATGATTGTGGGATAAGTTGAATTCTCTCATTATTTTCTCGACCTACACTTGTAGCATCATTAATTATAACTATGAAGCGTCAAAGACTCTTGAAAATTACCAACAAGAACAAAAAATCATACGGATGCTCATAGACTTTTAATGACACTTTGCAATTCGAGATTACATTTTATTAATGCAACCTTTATCTTTAGTTACTCAAGTTTATAACATGTTAATTCAGGATGAAAAATAAAGATAAGTTACTCTACAACATATAGTAGAAATTTTGTATTTTTATATAATTTTAATCAAGGTAACAACAAAATTAGAGTAAAAATGGTAATCAAAGGAAGACAAGGTGTAAGAATTGTAACATACCAAGGCACACTAGGAATGAATGTTATAAGCTGGTGGATTATCCTCTTGAACACAGATTCCACAAACCTAACAAACCAAATTCCAACACTCCGATAAGGGCTGGAAATCCTTTCATAAATTTAGGATCCATTGGGATAAGTTAGGACTAACTTCAGCAATTGTTGTCTATGTTACAAACATTTAGAGATAAAGCACATGTTGAAACTATTGTTGGTAAACCCTTATATTGTTTTCTTTTTACTCACTCTAAAGATATTGCTTCCTCCACTTGAATCTTAGACAATGGCTTAACGGA